AATTCACTGTCGTTAAATTATTATTTATAAAAAACTAATATATGACTGTGGATTTTTTTTGTATATCTATCTATACATTTTATTATAGTATTTTTTTTTCCTCACCTTAGAGTTATGGCGCCACTAAACCATAGCAGAGTTTTCTGTTTTTTATTATTTTGCTTTTTATATTTTATTTTAATCAATTTTATTGTGGAAAAATGAGATTATGAGGCGTGCACTTTTGGATTTTCCAAACTTTTTTATATTATTATCACATTATTAAATTAATTATATTTTCTAGGTACAATGGTCATCATGCAACATTTTCAGTACTCAAGACCATGCTGCTGCGGCGATTGCTAAAACCGGAGTGCCAGTTTACGCCTGGAAAGGTGAAACTGAAGAAGAATACACCTGGTGCATTGAACAAACTCTTGTTTTCAAAAATGGAGAACCACTTAATTTGATACTTGACGATGGTGGTGATCTTACAAATCTTGTTCACGACAAATATCCTCAGTATTTAGAAAATTGCCGGGGAGTATCTGAAGAAACAACTACTGGAGTTCACAATCTTTATAAAATGGTTAAGAACGGTACTTTAAAAGTACCAGCAATTAATGTTAATGATTCTGTTACAAAGGTTTGTATTTAATCATCATCTATATTATTAATAGAATAAGAAAAATTTTGTGTCTAGGATAATCATATGATAAAATCGGTTTTTTTTTTAGTGAAATTTAGTGTCTTGACTTGAATTTGTGCCTTTTCAAGGTTGCATATCATTCTCATCGATAGTCAATTTATTATGATAAGGATTTAAGCTGCATTCGAAAATTCTCTATCTCTAGATACATAATTAAGAAATGACTTTGTATCTTGAGAACTATTGACATTTCTAAAGATATAAGCTCATCCTGACATTACACTCATCGAGACCTTTCATTTAAGTATCCACATCAATTTTTCATATATTTATATATTATATATATGTATTTATGAAAAATATATCAAAATGCATGTGGGTACTCAAATGAAAGCTCTTGATAAGTATAACATCGAGATGAGCTTATATCTTTAAAAATGTTAGTAATTAAGAAATTACCTTGTATCTTGTGAACTATTGACATTTTCAAAGATATAAGCTCATCCTGACATTACACTCATCGAGACCATTCATTTGAGTATCCACATCAATGGGATGAGCTTATATCTTTAAAAACGTCAATAGTTAAGAACGTACAGTGCAATTTAACAAAAGTCATTATTTAACAAAGCAAAATTTTATTTATTTATAGTTCACAAGTCACGACAGTCATATCGTGACTGCAAGGTTACTAGTTATTATTAAGTTTCGTAAATTAATAACAACAACGATTGACTATTGATAATTAATTATTTATAGAGCAAATTTGACAATCTTTATGGATGTCGTGAGTCATTGATCGATGGAATAAAACGCGCAACAGACGTAATGATTGCTGGAAAAGTTTGTATTGTTGCTGGATATGGTGACGTAGGTAAAGGATGTGCTCAGAGTCTTCGTGCTCTTGGTGGTCGCGTTATCATTACTGAAATAGACCCGATTAACGCCCTGCAAGCGGCTATGGAAGGCTACGAAGTAACAACTATGGAAGAGGCTGCTCCAAAAGGACAAATTTTTGTAACCACAACTGGTTGTAAAGATATCATTGGAGGTCATCACTTTGAAGTCATGCGAGATGATGCCATTGTCTGTAATATTGGACACTTTGACTGTGAAATCCAAGTTTCATGGTTAGACAAGAATGCTAAGGAAAAAATAAATATCAAACCTCAAGTTGATAGATACACTCTGAGCAACGGAAGACATGTTATTGTTTTGGCTGAAGGACGTCTTGTTAATTTAGGATGCGCCACCGGACATTCTAGTTTTGTGATGAGTACTTCGTTCACTAATCAAGTTCTTGCGCAAATTGAACTGTGGACTAAATTTGATTCCTACAACATTGATGTTCATATGCTTCCTAAAAAGGTAAAATTATTATTATTTTTTTTTTTTTATTATTATTTACTATTTTTTCAGACATTGAGTATTATAATATGATAAATTTTTTATTTAGTTGGATGAGGAAGTTGCTGCATTACATCTTGATCATCTTGGTGTTAAATTAACTAAATTGACTCCTGATCAAGCTAAATACTTAGACATCCCAGTCAATGGACCATTCAAGCCTGATCATTACAGATACTAAAAACTTTAACAATTAAAAAAATAATTAATGATTTTTATGAAATGTAATTATCAAATGTACATTCAGGGTAAATTTAAACAAAGTAATGATAATAAGAAGGCAAATTTTCATGCCTACCCTTGGGTAAGTGTCACAAAAAAAAATGTTGACTTTTTGGGAGATTTTATTTAACAAGAAGTTAGAAATTTATAATTGTCAACTTAAATTAAATAAAACATCACCAAAAAATTTTTTGTGTCGCTTGGGTAAATTTAATTGAAGAAAAAAAAGTTAAAGTTGTAGCAAACTATTTTTTTTTGTTTTGAATAAAAATACATTTCATAAAAATGAATGTGTAGTTGAATTTATAACAATAAAGTTAGCCGACGTTTTTAATTTTTTTATTTTTTTCCATTTATTTAATTGGATTAAAAAAAAATTTTTTTTTTAATTGCACTTAAAGTTTTTCAAGTTTTTTACAAGTGAAATTTTTTTCTTATTTTTTTGTAATAATTTTTTTAATAAAAAAAAATTATAAAATTTTTAAATGTCGGCTGACTTAATTTTCATGTTGAATTTTATTTATTAATAAACAGAATTACTTTGTATTTTTGTTCTAACATTTATTAAAATTAAATTAATAAATTAAATCATGCAGTAAGACAGGATTCGCTGTTTTCAATGCATGGTATTTAAAATTAATTTAATGTTAAGTGTTGCCAACTCCATTTTTTTATTTATCTCACACTACATTGTGGAGTACTGTGTGCCATGTAAATCGTAACCTGTATATATTCTGTGTTTACAGCGGCATCAGTGCTAGTCGTAAAGTGCAATGTGAGTGCAATATTTTTATTCTTATATTCCATACCTTTCTTGATTAATCGTTGGACAAATAATTAAAAAGTATGAATGTTTATTACATAAATTTATTTTTTCGTCGTTTTATACATTATCACATGTAAGATGACAATGAACTTGAGGAGTCGATTGTTTGTATTTTTAACCTTAAAACTTGTTCGATGTTCTAGAAAGATCTGAAACCGACTTGCAGTTTTCCATTTGTTGAATAAATTAATTTCGTAGTATTGCGTAAATAATTATTTATTTTTACTGTCGTATTTTAATTACAACAAAATGACGACGATATTAAGAGTCAAAAGACGTAATTCAGATGAACCACTGGATGCCTTGATAATAGCTTGTAAGAAAAGAAAAGTTGATGCTGAAGCTGCTGAAGTTGCGGATCCTAAAGAGCCTTTGAAAACTGTTGTAAAATTTGCTGGCACTGTGCAAAATCAGGTAAAGTTTTTTAATACTTTTAAACCATTAAATTTTTATTTGAGAATTTAGTTTTAATTTATATAAAACATTTTTTTCAGGAAGTAAATGCTGCGAAAGAAATCGCAAAGACACTCACAACTAGTCAGCTCAAAGCTAATTACAAACAGCACTCAGTTGACGTTTTGAATAAAACCCGGACACAAAAACAAGAGGATTCGCGAGAAAATCGTTACAAATTTGTTAATTGCTTCCGGGAAATAGAGTCATCAGATACAGATGGAAAAGATAATGATCTCAGTATGACTCTTATAGATGTCGAAGATTCTGTTTCTTGCACTAAAAAAGCTGAGGGTACAGATCTTCCGGTAATTTTTTTATTTTTTAATTAAAAATCAATTACAATTAAGGTAAAAGACTCCATTAGTAGTACTTTTAACCCCTATTAGAAATGCACTTTTTCTTTCAGTGGAAAAATGTTCTATTTGGAATAAAAATTAAAAATTTTTTTGATCTAAAGGTCTTAAAGATTAGAAATCATATATTCATTATTGAAATTAATAATTTCATTAATTGAATAAGTGCCAAAATCAAAGAAAGTGTCAGTAATAGGGTCTCCCTTCATGGAGAAATATATATGTCGCATATATTTACGCAACAAAAAAATATGTCAACATATATTTTTCACATAGATGCTGACATATATGCAGAAATACATGCTAAAATATATGTAGACATATATGTAAGTATATACTGAAAAAAAAATTTCTCAGTTTAAGAATTTTTTTACTCAAATCAAGAAAGTTAAATTCTTCAAAATTATTTACTTGATTCAAATTAAATTTTTTTTCTGTGTATCTCTAGACTTATGTATTTTTATAATATATTTTTGCATATATTTTTCGCATATATATTTTTCCATGCGGGCCCGCCACTAATGGGGTCTTTTACCCTACTCTTTTATTCTTTTCAATGAAGAACGTGCTTCATAACGACATAAACGACCGATCAACTACACTAAATACAATGAAGTTTATGATACTGAAGTTAACTTTCAATTTTTTAATTCTTATAACAAATTAAAACAATAGTAATGTTTTCAAAAATTTCCCCTAAACATTTTTTTTTTAATTCTCACATGTGGAATTTTTTTATTAAATTTTTTTCATACTAATTTCATTGCTTTAAGATTCTAAAAAATTTCTAATGTCTGTCAATTTTAGTGTCATTGAATTTTAATAATTATTTAAATGTTGTTAATAGTTGATCTTTTATTTTCAATTTCCCGCTATGAAAATCAATGATTTTTTTGCTTGAATTAATTTCCTTAAGAGTTCAATAATTAGACACCCTTTATTAGATTCCACTTTATAATGATAAATACGTAATTAAATAAATTTATCTACAGGATTGTACGGAGTTTGTTTTCGATGTATATTGTATCATGGAAAATTCAATAAAATTATTAGATGATTCCTTTACGATTGAACCGTACAATGATGAGATGGTGTTTGATGAAAAGTACCGAGAAAATGGTGAATTCTCGGAGGACGATTCGGAGGATTCCAACTGCGAATCTAATTGGAAAAACGACTATCCTGACTCAGATGATTACCACTCAGAAGGTTCAATCGGTGTTGAAGATATGGAACAAGCTGTAAGTAGAATGTGGTTGCATGATGGACAATCTGATCTGTCCGACGATGAATATGATAATTATATTTACCATTTGGACAATTCAAAGTACACCGTTGATGACAGTGATATTGAGCACTATGGACTCGCGTATGCTCAATTTAAAGCCAAGTTGAAGAACAAAAAAAATGATGATGATGATGACGATGAAGAAAGTGATGATGATGACTGTGACAATGATAGTGATGACAGTAATTATAGTGGTGTATTAATATCAGAAATTCACAGTGATGAAGAAGGCCATGATGATAATGATTAAGAAATCTTCATAATTTATTATATCATTATCGTTATTCATTAGGTATCATTTCAATCATTTATTAAATTTGGTTATTTATTTACTAAGTTTAGTATGATTTATAAATATTAATTACTTTTCTGTTTAAAAAAAAAATTTAATTCATACTGTTGAAATAAAGCATTTGGAATTTTTTATAAATCATTGTTTCTTCTTAAATCGTTTATGTATTTATTTTTATTATATATACATATATAGATAAAAATAATTAATAGAAGTAAGCTTAGATGTTTTCAACAAGAAATGAGAGAAAAAAAATTTTAGTTATTTAATTATTTTTTTTTTTATTTTTTATTTTTTTTTTTTTTAATTCATCTCCAACGACATTTGAAGGCTTACCATAGAGAAAGAAAAAAAATTTATTTTTATTAATTAACTAAATCATCGAATTATTTTGTTTAACTTGGAGTCATTAATTGATACAAATGTATTTGAGTTTATTTTATTTATTTATACTAATTGATAAATTCTAGCCTCCCTGTGACGTAATATAAAAATTACGCGACTATCCGACCGTTTTCTCGATCACAGAGTGTATTTATTTAATGAATGATTCAAAAATAACAATATTTTTGATAGTACAGTCTATTAAGATTCATGTATGTATATATATGTAAAGAAAAAAAAAATACATTTTTTAACATCAAAATAAAAGTTATAATTTAATAAAATGAACTAGCGCATTATAATGTAATTAAAATGTTTTTTCTATTTTAATAGCTCAGAATTACAATTGTGATAAAATTGTTCAAGGTTTTGTACCGATCGAACATACGGTTTTTAAAAATTTATTATTGCGCTAGAATATGTTGTGTTTTTAATTTTATCATAAGATATGAGTACACTGCGTATACATGTAACACTGGCCTTATATTCTAATTTATACAATTGTGTGCACCCGCGTCGGAGAACCGCGCGTCCTCAAAGGAAGATATTCAATTAATTATTTATTATTTTATACGCGGTTATTCTATTTTGATTATTCGCATCAGAATTATTAACATTTGTATCAATAATAAAGCACATGAAAGAAAAAATTTTTCTTTGTCGTAGCAAATTTTTATTTAATATTAACATTTATTAAAAATAATTAATAAAAATTTTAATCACTTTCAATGTCAGATTTACTAATTAATATATCAATTATCAAAACATTTTAAACTCTCAACTAAAACAATTATAAACTTAATTAAAATTTTATTGCTACAATTGGAAGAAAAATTTTCTTTTATAATTATAATAATTCACATCAAATCACAGATTTAAAAAAAAAAAAAATTAATTACAGCTCATGTGTTTTATTATCAACACAAACGTGACGTGATTGCGAGCGCACTGTCAACGGGCGCGTTAATTATCAAGTTATTTTTTTTTTTAATATTTATATATTTATATTTATATATATTCATTTATATAATTAATAATTAATAATATATATATATATATTAAATGTTATATTGCAACGTAATTTAACAGATTCACAAGCTGAGATTGGTATCATTCATTAACTATATCGTACGTGTTATAAGTAATACTCTACTTTTCTACTGTACACATTTTACATTCACTCCATTATCAATTTCATTAATAATATTATAGTTGTTATTATTATCAATATTATTATTATTATCATCTTTCACCTTTTAATTTTTATTAATTACCATGAAATAATTGTATATTTAAAAAGGATTTTTCTATTCAGATAACTACATTCTACGAGATTATTCAAAAAGTCATGAGACTGCACCCAACGGGCTGTCAATATTCCAATTATTATTATTATTATTATTATTGTTATTATAATTATTAATTTTATCATTACCATTATCATTATAATTATTATTTTTGGTCTGCCAAGCGAATGTCAAGACCTGCTGAATTTTCATATCACTCGTGACAACCGTTAACTGACAAAAAATTAATTACATCAATATTGATATTAATACGCATACAAGTTGATCTTAATAACCTTGTCATTTTTATACTCATACATATATATAATTTTCAAATTTATTTACATGACAATTCAAATCATTTATAAAGTAAACGATCATACAATCACATAAAATTCAATTATCAGTTATTCATTGTAAATTAATTATTTTTATTTTTCTTCACTTCTCTTTTCTTCTTTCCTTTATAATTAGTTTTATTTACATCACTATTTTTATCAATTTAAATAAGTACGAACAATTCCCTGGATTGATAAGTAAAATTGAAAAAAAAAAAAAAAAATTTATAATAACAATAATGATAAAGAAGAAATGAAGAAAAATTAATCACACGAAATATTAAAACTAGTGTATTATTATTAACATTTAAAACTGGCAACAATTAACAGTCCTATAACATCTGCAGATCATTTCGATCGACAGAATACAAAAATGTAAGAGAATTTATTTAATTATTTAATGAATTAATGGATAAATTTTTTTTTTAGTGGTAATTATTGTAAAACCTATAGGAGGGAAGCTTCAGTTCTGCCAGCTGGAGGGCTCGTCGTATGGCTATTTGAGTTATTGTTATTATTATTGCTGTTGTTATTGTTGTTATTGCTTGCTTCACCGGCGTGACTTGAGCAGTAAAACTTCTTATGGGCGATAAAGGTGCTCAAGTAGTTGAAACTTATATCGCAAGAGCGGCAGTATCGCGCGTTAGTGTTTGTTTTAGCTGGATCGACTGTTTCTTCAGGTGGTGGTGTATCTTCACGTTCTTGCTTCACTTTGCTTGCTGCTACTGTCACTACTGGACTCGCTACTGCTGCTGTTGCTGTTGCTGTTGGTGGGACTGCTACCGGTGAGTGCGCTGGTGGCGGAGCTGGAGCTGCTGGAGAAGGCTGCGGCGGTGGAGGCTGAGGACTTTTTCTTGTTTCAGTTTTTCCATTGACTTGGATTTCGGCGGGAATTTCTTCGGGAGTTGTTGCCGTTGCTGGCTCAGGTGTTGGTACTGACGTTGTGTCGTCATCCAATACACATGTTATGTAATTTTCTTCCTACAATTAGTCATTAATTACTATTAATTAAATTTATTTACATATTACTATCATTAGACCAATTGATAGTTGAGATTTTTATGTCTTTTAAATTTTACTAGCAACGTAGTCACTAAATGACTGTATTTAATTACTATATACATGGTTTGGGTACTTTTGATATAAATTAAAAAAATAAAATTGCTATGATAAGATGAATTACCAATTATTTAATAGAAAATTTGATGGATGAAATTTATAGAAATAAAAAAATATTTAAAACTGTTCCAAAAAGTAAATAATCAAAAAATAAAATTAAGTTTCTTAGAAACTTGTTTTATCATATAAATAAATTAGAAAAAAAATTTTTTTTCTTCTCTAAATTACATCAAAGATAATGAAATAATTTTTGTTAATTTATTACACACACGGAAAAAAGTAAACTCTAATAAATAACAGTCGATTTATAATAAGTAATGATTAACTGCTAAAAATTGCCATTTCAAACAGTAAAATCGTGATTTTACAATTCACGTACCTAAAAATGATCTTATGATATGTAAAAAGTATGAATAAAATTAGTAAATTTCTAATACAAGCAACGTCAATATTTACAAAGTAAAATGGTAAATTTTAAACGCAACGCTAAAAATCAAACTGTAATTATTGAGTTGCTTGGACTGGTAAAATGTATATTTTAAAAATATAATTTTTACTGTTTCAAATTTTAAATTCTCCCAGAGTGAGACCCCCTTCTCTTTCATCTGAGTTCCCTTTCTCCTCATAATATGGACTATATATTGAAATGGGAATTTTTACTGTTTGAAACTGTAATTTTTTAAGATAAAATAGTCGTTATTTACTATAGTGACAGCTACTAATCACTTATTTTGGATATTAAATTATAAATTGTGGCTTTTATACTTTCTACATTAAGTTCTGTAATATTTATATTTTTGCCACCCCGATGTCCGCTTAACTGTTTGAAACTATAAAAATTAACCGGATTCCGAGTGAATTTTAGTTTACTTTTTTCCGTGCACTCATTAAATTTTTAAACAGGCATAAATATATCAACTATATAAAATAATTATCACAGAAAAACGAAACAAACCTGTAAATCAGTTCCCCGTTTTTCAAAATGCATTCTAATATGCGTTCTCATTCCCCTAAGAGTATTACCCTTGTACCGACAAATAGTACACCGAAAAGCTTTGACACCTTGATGAGCATCCATGTGACGTTGAGCAGCACCAGCAGTTGGACTTACTGCACCGCAAACTGGACATCTCCAACCCCCAGCTTGTATCGAGCAAGTATGCGTTGCACCAGTTTCAATCATCACCTAAACACCAAGCAATTCAAATGAATTAAATAATTCAATCAAAAAACTTGAATAAAAAATAAAAAATTTCCAAAAAAAAAAATTAAAACAAAAAAACCAACCTTGCATTTAGGACAACGCGTATGATGCTCCTGAGACTCAGGTTTTTTTGGACAATAGAAAGCTTGATGAGCCACGAGATTATCCATCGAAGCGAACTTGATCCCGCAAGCCGCACAGATCAGCTGGACCAGCGGAGGTGAGGGTGTGCCCGAAGGAGGAGGACTGCAGACAGTATTTTCCCTCGCTTGGCAATAGTGTTTCTTATGAGCCACAAAATTTTCATGCCGACAGAATACAATGTTGCACTCTTTACATCTGGAAACACCCTGCTTGACCAGGACCCCAGGAACCGGAGGCGGAGGTAGTTCCGCAAGTCTCAGCGCTAGTTCCGTTGGCGGAACAGTTGGTGTTGCCGTTCCAGAGCCGGCTGTTTGGACCGTCGGCAGCGACCTCGTTCGCGGACTAGCGCTTCCTCTAGACCTTGGACTGCTAGATGGCGGCAATGACGAAGGAGCTGGAGAAACGCGATTTTCTTTCTCGTCCGGATGCAGCACCGGAGACCGCCTGATGCTCAGATCCAGGGGAGTCGAGGCCGCAGAAGACGGAGAGTTAGGCCTTGACGGAACGGCCACCGTAGCCGGAGTCACCGGCTTGTTAGCCACCCTGAGAACTTGCGAGGGGTCTATAGAATTTCCAACCGATGCCAGACCCCTGGTCATCGGCTGAAGGGACCCGTTTGGTAAGAGGAAGCACGCGGTGTCTGGAGCTGGAAGCGAAGGGGCAGCCAGAACACTCGCCCCGCGGAACAACGAGCAGGGAACAATCAGGATCGGGTTTGTCGGCAGAGCGAGACACGGTTGCGGCGGTGGAGAGTCTCCAGGACTGGAACTTGTTGGAGGTGAGGCTTTTGCAGGAACTGGAGTAGGCGGGTCCTTGACCACGTGCCGGGTGCTGCAGTAGTGAGTCTTGTGAGCGCGGTAAGTCTTCAAGGAGTTGAACCTGATGTCGCAGTTCCTGCAGTACCGCTCGGTTTCCTCGTTGACCAGCCCGTTCGTTGGAGTATTGTTGCTGCTGGAGATCGAAACTGGAGTGGTAGACGCTGGCGGAACAGCAGGAACTGGAGGAACAGGAACGGGAGCTGGAGTTGCCGGCGAAGCTGCGTGCATCCTCATGTGCCGGTTCAGCGAAACTTTTTTGTCGGCGCTGTAGGAGCAGTGAGGACACGCGTACGCTTTCCGAACTTCGTATTTGCTGGACTTGTCGTCATCATCGTCGTTAGCGTTGTCCTCCTCGGCTCTCGGTCTGTGGGCGCAGTAGAAGGTCCGGTGAGCCTCCAAAGTGCTGGCGGATGAAAACCTAATCCCGCACGGCGGACAGTAGAGCGGAATGGGCCGGGTCGGGTCGATGGTGATTGGGTCCTTGCCATCAGTAGGTATCACGAAGAGCCTCCCAGAGGCCAGGGCGTTCTGCAACCCGACTGGCAGCGAAGAGCTCGAGTTCGGTGGAGACAGACCGTCGGGTTTCAGGGTCAGAGCAGCAACAGTGGCGGGTCTAAGCGCTGGATCAGTCGCCAAACTAGCGTTCAACCGGAGTTTAGGTGCATCTTCTTCGAGGCGCATCTTTTTCGGGTGCTCGCAGCTGGTGTCGGAGCGCCGGGACTCGTCGGAATCCCGGCGCTTACACAGCGAACCGGTCGATCTGCTGGATTCAGTCTCTTTTGGCGAAGACGTTCCGTCATCGTTGTCGACCCTCGCGGGACTCCTTTCTAGGCTCTTGGATCCTTGCCGCAGGGCTTTTGATAGCTCGTAATCGTCCGCGAGGCTGCTCAACCGCTTTCGCGCGTCATCCGAGAGGATGTTCAGGCGCAAGCGGAAGTCTTCGATTGAGGAGTTGCTCAAAATTCCTGAGGCTTGGTTCAGTCTTGGGGGAGGCGGGAGACTCGTTTCTTCATCGGGGTGCGGCGGTGTTGGGCTGGATACTGTTGATCCTCCACCATCCACCCCGCTGCTCACCGACGGGGTCTTCTCTGAGTCACTCCACTCCTCATCTTCCCCTGGAACAAATTAAAAGAGATTTTTATTGTTTAAATATTGTTTCTTTTTTAATTAAGTAGAATATTACGATTTAACGCTTCTGGTTTATAATTAGATTAAAAATCTGAAAATAATCTATTAGTTTAAAAAATGGTTTAATGAAAAGCCAAATTAAAAAGTATAAATAATTTTAAAATAAGAATAAAGTGATTAATAAAAGAATTTTTTTTTTTTGTTAAAAAAAAAGCTTGGGCTGCTTTTAGAAAAATTTTTCCGATATTATTTTCACAGAAAAAAAATTTTATTTAAATCAAAAAAATTATAAGAAAGATTAAAGTTTTTTTTTTAGAGCAAAACAAAATTTTCCTTCTCTGTATTAATAAAATATTTACAATAATAAATATCAAGCATCCCACGTTTTGTTTAAAATAAAATAAATTTTTTTGTTAATCACTCTATTTGTATTTTCAACTTATTCAAAATTACTTGCTATTTTGTATTTTTCAAAACTATTATTTATTTACGGTTGATTTTAAGCTGCCACCACAGATTATGTTCAGCGACTTTGAATGAGACCACCATGATATATAATAATGAAAATAAATATTATTAATTTGAATGGCGTGTTGTACGTTCGGTGGATGCCGTACAATTGCCAGCAAACTCCCTAATGGTTAACATTTCTTAACGGAGTGAGGATCCCCTCTAATTGTCCCAACTCGTACGCACGCGCGAGTTTCTCGAGTTTCTGCCTCGAAAGTTGAAAGTTGAATCAAACCTCAAGCAGTTTGATCGGGAGTAAAATATAAAATAAAATAATAAGCGGAATTGGAATTAAGTAGTCGAAAATGTGACTCGGGAAACGTATGACACGTTGTTGAGCGTAACTCCTGATCTGGTGGGTCGAATTACCCGGATACTTTAATTGCCTCCTCGGGCGAGGTCCCAGAGGAATAAGATCCACGGACAGATTGCCAAGTTAAGTTTTCTTTGGATCCCAGGCTCTTTCTTTCTTTCTTCCTCTCTTCGAGGAATATTCAGTCCGCTCACTCTCTGGCTCTGGCTCTGGTGCTGATGCTGATGCTGGTGATGCTGATGCACCAAAGAGTCTACAGTATAATACACTAGTGTATATAGACTATCCTCGGTTAACATCTCACGTGGCAGCGGGCCGTGTTCTCGGCTCTGTAAATAAGCAGTCATCGATGGATCTGCCTGAGTGCTGGCAGTCTCCATCTCACTCCTCAGGGCCGACGGCCATTCTTAATTGCACGTGCATGCAACCGATCTCAAACTATATATAAATATAAATGTATGTACCATCAACCATGAGAATTAAAACAAAGAGAAGAAGAAGGAGAAAGAGAAATTGCAAAGGGTTTATTCCGTTTGCACTCTACAACTGTAAAGTTCTAGTTGCTTCAACTTGACTTGTATTTTTTCTGTTTTATATTTATATTTGCTCTTACTTTCTCCACTTGCAAGTCTTTCTTCTATCCACTTATACTCACTCCTTTGCTGGACTGTTCTCTATTTTTCAGTTTAGTTATATCTTATACACGAGTATGCTCATACACATTTAACTATCGTTGTTCCATACACCCTCTATTATGTGTACACCTTTACATCTACCTTTACTTCAAGCTCAACGACAATCCGGGGCACCGGCAATATATCTCGAACCCAGAGCCAGACTCAGGGGCAGTTGGGAGCGGCGAGGGGACGACATGGTCGCCATTAACATATCCGACGCTGATAAGCCTTTCTTGGAACCGATACCACCGTATCCCGGCGATTTTTATTCCTCCCTTTCTTTATATTATATATATATATATATATATATATATATATATATATATATATATATATATATATATGTACTATATATGCTGTTTCATTAAACTCTCTCTGTAGACTTTGCATCAATTATGCTAGCTTTTTTTTTTTTGTTATAGTACTTAATAGATTCAGTTTTTAATTATTATAATGATAGAAGGATTTATTTTTATTAAAAAATATTTGTTAATACGGAAAAAAGTAAATTGTAATATATTCACTCGGATTCCGGTTAATTTTTATAGTTTCAAACAGTAAAGCGGACATCGGGGTGGCAAAAATATAAATATTACAAAACTTAATGTAGAAAGTATAAAAGCCACAATTTATAATTTAATATCCAAAATAAGTGATTAGTAGCTGTCACTATAGTAAATAACGACTATTTTATCTTAAAAAATTACAGTTTCAAACAGTAAAAATTCCCATTTCAATATATAGTCCATATTATGAGGAGAAAGGGAACTCAGATGAAAGAGAAGGGGGTCTCACTCTGGGAGAATTTAACACTTCAAACAGTAAAAATTATACTTTTAAAATATACATTTTACCAGTCCAAGCAACTCAATAATTACAGTTAGATTTTTAGCGTTGCGTTTAAAATTTACCATTTTACTTTGTAAATATTGACGTTGTTTGTATTAGAAATTTACTAACTTTATTTTATACTTTTTACATATCATAAGATCATTTTTTAGGTACGAAATGATAAATATCAAAGTCTGAATTTTTAATTATTATACTTTAACATTTTAGACATTTACATAGCGAATATTACTGTTTAAAATAGTATTTTCTTCCATGTAAAGAGTAAATTGTAACGTTTAAATGGTAAATATTATAAAGTGAATAGTAAAATCACGATTTTACTGTTTGAAATGGTATTTTTTAGCAGTTGATTATTACTTATTATAAATCAACTGTTATTTATTACAGTTTACTTTTTTTCGTGTAGTTAACAAATCATTTATTAGAGACCATTTTTTAGTATTAAGCAATTATTTCTTAGTACAATTTAAAATGATTTGTTTGTATTTAATAAATTTGATATTCATTTATTAAATATTAATAAATCTTTTTAACTACTAAGAAATATTTGTTAAGGACTAAAAAGTGGTCTCTAATAAATGATTTGTTAAATATTTTTAACTATAAACAAATCCTTCTATCAGTTTAGTCATAATTAGCCTTTATAAACATTTTTTTGTCCTTAATTAATAATTCATTTATTTTTTTAAAGATTTAGAGATATACAGAGAAAATCTGTGGTAGCGTCAACAATCTTTGTATAGTAGTTTTTGCAATTTATATGATGGTAAAAGGATCGTAAGAATTATTACTTTGATGGTTACACTAACCATCAAATGTAGTTAAATTTAGCGTTCATACATAAGGAACTATTATATAATAATTATAAATATTAAGCTTTTTTAATTGAACATTGAAAATTGAATTATAAGAGTACGGAATTAAAAAATTTTTTATTTTAAAGATTTTTTTAGCCGGGTTAAAACAAAAAAAAAAAACAGTAAGAATAGTGAGAAAATTTTCAATCAGTCGCAATTTTTTTTTAAATTAAAATTTTCAAAATTCCGTACGTGCGACGATAACTACATCCTTACTGATTAAAAAGCAATTTGGATTTTTATTTTCAAATGATCCATTT